GCTACTATAACTTATTTACCGTATACTGCATGATCATTCACAAATTTTCTATAATTAATATCTCGATAATTATTGCGAATATCGCAAAACGGTATAGGACTTTTATGTTCACCGCAACCTGTTCTACGTTCTCACAAAATACCCGGAGAAGAGTGTGAGACACCCTATATACAATAAGAAAAATTGTAATATATATTATGATAAATTGTAATAAAAGAGTTGTAAGAAAGAAATCGTAATAAGCATGCTAAGGAATTTAATTTATTATACCTTAAATAAATATATCAAAATAGAGTTATTTCAGTTAGGGTCTATTAGACATACTAAGGTCTAGTTAGATATACCAAGGTCTAAGGTTTAGTTAGATATACTAAACCTCATATTTACAAGTCTAGGTGCTAATTTATAAGAGTGTTACATCTTTGTGTAGAGCCTCAGTGGACCTATCTTTATAGAATTTTGATAGAAGCAGGCAGAAATTGTCTAGGTCGTTTTTAATCTCCATTTAGAATTTCTATCCAAATTTTAAATTTCTGCTCACAATTTCGAAAATGTGTCTCATCAATAAACATATTTCTTGTCGTCTCTCGCACTTTTCACGTAAATTACTTTTAAAGTAAATTTAACTTCATCAATTTCAAATTTATGGTCAAAACCACATACACACACAAAATCAATATAAGTAAATTTAATATAACAAATTTAAGTTTAATTTTATTTAGATCCACTTGAATGTAATTAATTTTATTTAGATCCACTTAAATGTAATTAAATTTTAAAGTAAATTTAATCCTTATAATCCATATTAAGAAACATGGATATGCATTTGCTTATATCGACAGCTTCCCGAATTTATTGACAAGATACGCGGGACAGATTCCTCGCGTACAAAAGTTGAACGCGAATCGATAAAAAGCGCATCGGTGAAATTGCGAGAACACGTTTGCCTGATGATAAAAACATACGCTTAAAATGGGAAATCCGCGCAACAAACAGACGTGGGTGTGTCGATTTTTGCCGAACAAGAAGTAAATTTCATGAAAAATATAAAAGCCCGCGGTTTCCCGGCTGCTCGTGCAGACGCGACGGGGGTTTAAAATAAAGTGTAGGCAAGCCTTCCAAGTCGTATATTTAGGGCGACGCGCAAGCGCGATCCGATTAAAAGCGCCGAAGACTTGTAGTTTGAGCTTCCCCGAATTCCGCCTCGCGCCGCGACTCTAACAAACCGCGTGTATAACCGCAAATAGTAATTTCCTCGTTTCTGCCCACGCCAAAATCTCGTTGGACAACGAAGCCCCGTGGCGCGCACGGAGTCGAAGGTGAAGGGAAAGAAAAAAGCACGGGAAGACAATTCGCGCCCAGCGATTTAATTCGTGCGAGTCATGTCGCGACAAGCCGCGATGTGATATAGTGACGTTTGATCAGAAAGCGAAAATGAAGGTGACCTCGAATTGAAATAGCCACGAGAAGAGCAGAGAACCAAACAGTCCGATAAAAACGCACCTGTGCGTGGGGAAAGTAGAGAGAAAAGAGAAAAACCGAAACCGGCGTAAAAATTCACGAGCGGCAAAGCAGCGAGACGCTTAGTGGGAACTTCGATCCTGATCGAACGTCGAAAGAGACAGCGCCATGGATCTCGGCGGTGTTGACGTTTGGGGCCAGATCGCCCTGGAAACGTCGCAGATGTACGTTTCCGAGGGTGGTGTCATTAAGAGCCGTTTCGCGGGAACCGTAAGTTAACGTTCATTAATTTAATATCCTGACGTAACGCGATCTCGATCTATTTCTCGCACTGTGCGATCTCCGCGCTCGCGTTTACGTCACGTTTGCGCGATGGAAATTTCTACGTGACTTTTCTTCCGATATCTATAAACGGAGTCGTAGGGAATCTCTTGAGTACCGCGTGACTAAATTCAATTTCTCGATATCCGTTTATCTTGCGACAGAGACAAGATACGGAGATGCGCGAAAAGTAACGGATATAGCACGATCTGACAGCCGAGACAGAACTCGACGGGTTGATATCAATAATTATACGCAGAGAACCTGTCTTGGAGGTATAGGCCCGTAACTTTAATAGTTGTATTAAAAATACGGGTCGTAGTTTTAATTGTTAATTTAGGATCTCTCTCATGTGAGACACTCAGATTTCGATTCAGAGTTAGATCCAAGTTTTACAGTTAAATTATATAATGTGACATTTATCTCTGTCATCGAGTGATTCAATCGAGAAAACTCTCATTTAACTTTGAATTCAAATCTGAAACCCGTATTAATAGTCGTTACTTAAAATTGCTCTCAAGTAAAATTTGATTTGAGTTCAGAGTTAGATGAGAGTTTTTCAGTTGAAAAACAGATTACAGATATAATGTCATCAATAACATATAATTCAACTAAAAAACTCGGATCTAATTCTGAATAAAAGTCTGAGTGTCTTATGTGAAACAAATTTCAAGTAACGACTATTAATACGGCTCTGATTGTCTCACTTGAGTTCCAAGTAATAACTGGCCAGTAAACATAAATATATAACTATTATATTCTCGTAATATAACGAAATGTAATGAACCAACACGTACAAAGTAGGTTATATATATATATATATATATATATATATATATATATATATATATATATAAAAATAAATA